CATCCACAACTACAATAATAACTATGGCAACATCCACAACACTACAATAATAACTATGGCAACATCCACAACTACAATAATAACTATGGCAACATCCACAACTACAATAATAACCATGACAACATCCACAACTACAATAATAACTATGGCAACATCCACAACTACAATAATAACTATGCCAACATCCACAACTACAATAATAACCATGACAACATCCACAACTACAATAATAACTATGGCAACATCCACAACTACAATAATAACCATGACAACATCCACAACTACAATAATAACTATGGCAACATCCACAACTACAATAATAACTATGGCAACATCCACAACTACAATAATAACCATGACAACATCCACAACTACAATAATAACTATGGCAACATCCACAACTACAATAATAACTATGGCAACATCCACAACTACAATAATAACTATGGCAACATCCGCAACTACAATAATAACTATGGCAACATCCACAACTACAATAATAACTATGCCAACATCCACAACTACAATAATAACCATGACAACATCCACAACTACAATAATAACTATGGCAACATCCACAACTACAATAATAACCATGACAACATCCACAACTACAATAATAACTATGGCAACATCCACAACTACAATAATAACCATGACAACATCCACAACTACAATAATAACTATGGCAACATCCACAACTACAATAATAACTATGGCAACATCCACAACTACAATAATAACTATGGCAACATCCACAACTACAATAATAACTATGGCAACATCCGCAACTACAATAATAACTATGGCAACATCCACAACTACAATAATAACTATGCCAACATCCACAACTACAATAATAACCATGACAACATCCACAACTACAATAATAACTATGGCAACATCCACAACTACAATAATAACCATGACAACATCCACAACTACAATAATAACTATGGCAACATCCACAACTACAATAATAACCATGACAACATCCACAACTACAATAATAACTATGGCAACATCCACAACTACAATAATAACTATGGCAACATCCACAACTACAATAATAACCATGACAACATCCACAACTACAATAATAACTATGGCAACATCCACAACTACAATAATAACTATGCCAACATCCACAACTACAATAATAACTATGGCAACATCCACAACTACAATAATAACTATGGCAACATCCACAACTACAATAATAACTATGGCAACATCCGCAACTACAATAATAACTATGGCAACATCCACAACACTACAATAATAACTATGGCAACATCCACAACTACAATAATAACTATGGCAACATCCACAACTACAATAATAACCATGACAACATCCACAACTACAATAATAACTATGGCAACATCCACAACACTACAATAATAACTATGGCAACATCCACAACTACAATAATAACTATGGCAACATCCACAACTACAATAATAACCATGACAACATCCACAACTACAATAATAACTATGGCAACATCCACAACTACAATAATAACTATGCCAACATCCACAACTACAATAATAACCATGACAACATCCACAACTACAATAATAACTATGGCAACATCCACAACTACAATATAACCATGACAACATCCACAACTACAATAATAACTATGGCAACATCCACAACTACAATAATAACTATGGCAACATCCACAACTACAATAATAACCATGACAACATCCACAACTACAATAATAACTATGGCAACATCCACAACTACAATAATAACCATGACAACATCCACAACTACAATAATAACTATGGCAACATCCACAACTACAATAATAACTATGCCAACATCCACAACTACAATAATAACTATGGCAACATCCACAACTACAATAATAACTATGGCAACATCCACAACTACAATAATAACTATGGCAACATCCGCAACTACAATAATAACTATGGCAACATCCACAACTACAATAATAACCATGACAACATCCACAACTACAATAATAACCATGACAACATCCACAACTACAATAATAACCATGACAACATCCACAACTACAATAATAACTATGGCAACATCCACAACTACAATAATAACCATAACAACATCCACAACTGCAATAATAACTATGGCAACTTTCACAACTACAATAATAACTATGGCAACTTTCACAACTACGATAATAACTACGGCAACCTCCACAACTCTACAACAATAACTATGGCAACATCCACAACTACAATAATAACTATGGCAACATCCATAACATTGCACTAATAACCCTCCGTACAACAACCAACCTCCTTTTAGTTAGCTGAACAGTCCGTCCTCCTAAGGTTCCTCAACGTCATGAAAACGGTCAATGTAAAGTGTCCTCTGCTAACCTACCAGAGGACCCAAAACAGAAAACGGGACAGTACGTCACTTTTCGCGAATCGCTTCCATCTTTTAGTACGACATTTTTTGACGTTATGTAACGCATACGTGCGAAAAGCGACGTTCTTGGTAGGAGGACAGGTTGAGTTGAAGGGAATGAAGTTTGTTGTGCGTCTTCGCTCAGTAGGTTTCCCGGGGGCCTTTGGGACCAGATTCACGAAGCAGTTACGCAAGTACTTACGAACGTGTACATCTTTCCTCAATCTTTGACGGCTTTGGTTACATTTATTAAACAGTTTACTAGCATGTAAACTTCCCAATCAACTGTTGTTGTTGTTATAAACAGCCTCCTGGTGCTTCGGAGCTCATTAAATGTTTAATAATTGTAAACAAAGCCGCCAAAGATAGAGAAAAGACGTACAGGTTCATAAGTGCTTGCGTAACTGCTTCGTGAATCTGGCCCCTGGTATGCCCAGATTAATATCTTACGTCCAAGATTAACGTAGTAATCGTTCCTGTCGCGAGGTTCAGGACACTAATTTGTTTAATTTAGGTAATTCACACCTTGAAGAATGGTGTTGGACTTGCCATAGTCAAGCCTCTGGTTTGTGAATACTTAATGATAAGCATCCGTTGCATGTGATTTGCGTATGATTCTAATCCTTGCAGGAACAATGATTGACTGGGAATTCATTTTGCACAAATGAATTTCATTTGTGCAAAATGACACAATGAGAATGGTGGAAATCTTGAGAGAGAGTATTATATTTCTAAGACACCATTGTTTTGGAATTGGAAAACATGCCTGACGAACCTGATCGAGTTCTACGCCAAGAATAGTAAAACACGGCAGTGATAGATGAATTACAGTTTCCTAGATTGCCATAAATCCTTCAACATTGTCCATAATAGCAGATGGATTGATAAGGTGGGAAATTGGGCTGTGGTAACTGGGAAGATACTGGACTAGATTAGAGAATATCTGACACAGAAAACAATTCCAATGAGAGGGAAGTTTCAAGCTGGGTGGCGCAAGGGTCAGTGCTTGAACCACTTCTGTTTCAGAGTGATGTAAATGACCTCCATGAAGAGGTAAGATCAGACATAACACTGCTTGCAGAAAGTAAATAAAAAATATGAAAAAGGTGTAATTATCGAAGAGATTTACATAATACTACAATAGATCGTCGAAAGGCTGTAGGAATTTATGAAACTATGGGTATGGGAGTTTAATCCTCAAAAATGTAAAGTATTAAGAGTTTGAAGAAGGGAGAATAGACACTAGGACAAAGGAAGTTGCAGAAATCTAAAGAGGAAAAGCACAAGGGAGTGAACGTGACCCCAGAAGTACATGAACAGAATAACATCATCAGCATATGCAACATTAACAAAAACAGTTTGCTTGAGAGCCTAAGCAAGGAATCCTTCAGAATACTATATACAGCACATGTTAGGCCAGACCTAGAATATTTAACTTCAGCATAGAATCATACCAATTTAAGCACAGTTTAGAAAATGTAAAAGCTTCAAAGATATTCCAAGAATCAAGAACCACATACATAAGAGATGAGCTATGTGGACTAAGTAATACATCTAACGGCATGTAGAACAATAAAGGCCTTGGGACGATATGATCACAACGTAAGAGACACTTGAGTTGAATATATAAAGTGGAGAGGGACAGTTTTGTCCCAGTTGAGAGACACCTGACGTAAGGGACACGGGCAGGTGGAAGCTGCATCATCACTACCACTGACAGACGTCCGCTCCACCACTGACACCGCCTGCCCGCCTGCCTGCCTGCCTGCCTGGCCAACACGTTACTGTACCGCCACGACGCTAACACGTCCCTACACCACAACGTCCATAATACATCACTTACTTCATCCCCACATTTACTGCACATCCACCTCGCAAACACGTCGTTTGCACCACCACCAGCACCACCATTATCTTAGCAACACGTCCCACGGGCCACCACTCACCACCACGCCATCATACATGCTGCACAACCACCCCTGTTCTGAGAGGCCTTGCACACCCATAGCCCACTAGAACGCCTCATTTCCCTGTCATCGCGTGCTTATGTCTGAAACAAACCACAACAATTAATTAAAACTGCGTGTATATGCTGATACGTAACGTGTCAAGTTTATTACGTTATCAAAAAGAATGTTTGAGTATGAGATGAATATGGTAAGCCTTCAGCGTCTGGTTGATTAATACATTGTTCCCGCATAAGGTTCAGACATGCAGATGTTGACCGCCAAAACGGAACTAGGCCACAAGAACGTTTGGCGGGAAATCCTGAACCACTGGTAAAATGTCCCATTGTTAACCCAAGTATTCGTTGCTACCAGAAATGTTCACTAAGAGTCATTTGGCATTTACTCATTACTTTCTTGGTCACATTGGTTTTGTTTTGGTGCTAGGCTTAAAGCCTACTATTAAAGCCGTGACAAAAGCGTGAAGACCAACCATCAAGTATACATTGTCCTCTAAATGCATATACACCGATAAAAGACATACACTTCTCAATGTATATGAAGATAAGTGTGACAGAAATGATATATTGCCTAACAAGAGTCAAAGCGAAAATACAGCGATGGTGTTGTGGTCGACAGGTTCCCTGATCCAGGTGCTGGGAGAGCGTCCTCGCTCCACCAAGAGCCGCCTCGGTCAGTTCAAGAGTGAGAAGGAAGCCGTCCGTCAGTGTTTTCTTTTCAGGTGAGTCTTGATAAATATTTTTGCCTCCATAAACACACGCCATTAATGCTTTAAGCCGTGCAAACAAAAGATGGGAAGAATAAATGGTGTAATAGAACACTGAGAGTTAAGCAGCTGCTGTTGTAGGCTGCATAATGGGGGGAAGTAGTTAGCCCTATAGAGAGGACCTTGAAATAAGCCCAAATTATAGGCTTATAATTAAACTTATACAGCGAAATAAGCTGTACACAAGCCTGTGTACAGTATATATATATATATATAAATACTGTACATAGGTTTGCTGCACCACCAACAAAGTTAATTACTATCACATTTAAATTGCATTCATAAATCACGTAAGGATTCGGAAGGCCTGAAAAGGCATAACATTCCTGCTGATTCCTATTAATAACTTCAATTTGCCTCCTTGTTTCACTACATACACACCCACACAAAATAATACTCTGATAATTACAGACAGGTCTGGGGTGTATAATTAAAATAATTAACAATTTTTTTATAAACAAAATTGAAAATCTTTTGTCAGCTTCGATAATGTTTAACGTTAGTTGAGTAGACCAGGGGCTAATGAAGCCTCATGCCATAGTTGAGTAGACCAGGGCTAATGAAGCCTCATGCCATAGTTGATAGACCAGGGCTAATGAAGCCTCATGCCATAGTTGATAGACCAGGGCTAATGAAGCCTCATGCCATAGTTGATAGACCAGGGGCTAATGAAGCCTCATGCCATAGTTGAGTAGACCAGGGCTAATGAAGCCTCATGCCATAGTTGATAGACCAGGGGCTCATGAAGCCTCATGCCATAGTTGAGTAGACCAGGGGTAATGAAGCCTCATGCCATAGTTGATAGACCAGGGCTCATGAAGCCTCATGCCATAGTTGAGTAGACCAGGACTAATGAAACCTCATGCCATAGTTGATAGACCAGGGGCTCATGAAGCCTCATGCCATAGTTGATAGACCAGGGGCTAATGAAGCCTCATGCCATAGTTGAGTAGACCAGGGCTAATGAAGCCTCATGCCATAGTTGATAGACCAGGGCTAATGAAGCCTCATGCCATAGTTGAGTAGACGAGGAGCTAATGAAGCCTCATACCATAGTTGATAGACCAGGGGCTAATGAAGCCTCATGCCATAGTTGAGTAGACGAGGGGCTAATGAAGCCTCATACCATAGTTGATAGACCAGGGGCTAATGAAGCCTCATGCCATAGTTGAGTAGACGAGGGGCTAATGAAGCCTCATGCCATAGTTGAGTAGACGAGGGGCTAATGAAGCCTCATGCCATAGTTGAATAGACCAGGGCTAATGAAGCCTCATGCCATAGTTGAATAGACCAGGGCTCATGAAGCCTCATGCCATTCCGTCAGTAACCACCTGATCGTCGCGACGAGGACCTCTGGCGGGAAGCTGCACCTGGTGGCGGGCGTGGGCAAGGTGCCCCTCAATGATGCTACGCTCATCGAAGACCCTAACGAACTGGGCAACCAGGACGATGATGGTGGTAAGCTCTACACGGTACTGTTCCACTGTCATACTACCATACTACGTACACCCTTCTCTCTCTCACTCTCGCTCTCTTTCTTTATCTTTCTCTTCCTCTCAATTTATCTTTCTTTCTCTTCCTCTCAATTTCTCTTTCTTTCTCTTCCTCTCAATTTATCTTTCTGTTTCTTTCTCTTTTTCACTTTCTCTTTCTTTCTCTCCCTTTCTTTCTCTTTATTTTTCTCTTTCTCTCTCTGAAATCGCACTGTGGGGTTGAGTTAGATGCCGATATTTCTTAAAGTGTGGCACTGGAGCCGACCCTACGTGGCCTATGACACTCCCCTACCCCACATGCTTTAGGTGTAGAAGTTAGGTGAGGCTAGCCCTAAGCGTCTGGCCTGGATCCTTGGATCCTGAATCCTATATGAAAGGTCAGTGGAGTGAGGATGTTAATGGTCACTTTGTCCCCCGTGTACAGAGTCGTCGGTGTGTTCCTTCTCGTCTCAGAGTAGTGGGGTTAGTGACAGCTCAGCGGCCACCAGCAGCGGCTCGGGGCCCGGCAAGAACTTCCCCGTAGAGCAGGCAAACCTTGACTTTAAGATCGTGATCGAGCAGAAGACTGGCCCGGCTATAACGCTCCATCTAGTGGCGCCCACCATGCAGGAGAAGCAAGCCTGGATTAGCGACATTAGTCAAGTATATTTTTCTTTGTCATATGTTGTCACTGTATAATATTTACGAAATTCACAGTTATGGTTATATGTTTAAATATAGGTGAAGCGGTGTCATGAATTGGTCTGTGTATAATGAGACTTTTTCCCGCCATGATCTCTCCAGTGTTTGGACAACGTGCACTTCAACAACTTGTTCAGGTCCTCCATGTCGGACACCTCCTCCATAACTATGCCACACTTCATCAAGAATGACCCCAAACTTTTCCGGGATGACATCGACATTCGTTTCTCACGGACACTCAACTCCTGCAAGGTGAGCAGGTATTTGGGTTATATTCCTTTTTGCATAACTAGAAAAAGTGAGAGCTATTGCCTTCTGCATAGCGAGATAAATTCGTTAACTACAGAAGGTAATTAAGTCCTTTTGCAACATGAGAAATAGAACCCACTGTTTACCATAGACTATATACTTGTTATTTTAAAGTGAGATAAATTTTAGAGTATATGCTCATATAATGAGAAGAGTCTGAGTTCAACACCCACATACAACACAGCCAAAAACATGTCCAAAAACAGTTCACATTCTATTTAAAAAATCAGATACAATGCCGCGCTCTGCTTCCTTCATGCTATAATACTCTCTAATATCTATCAATCTGCCGCAAAACACATCAAAAACATTGTATCGCAGCAAAAATCAACTATCACAACTGTCATAAATTCTTTCCTCAAACAATATGCAGCATCTTTGTGACGATGTATTCCACTTTCGGAATAGGAAGTACCCGAGCTCGCATCGCAACACCCACTTCCCAACAGCCAAATGATACAAATTACTATCCATATTCATTATATTTAAATTTCTCAAGCAAATAACCTTGAAAATATGATTCCATCACATTCATTATGAAATAAAAAATAAACATAAGATGCTGGATTGCATTTAGCGTAAGTAACACATTTTTTACTGCCAGGTTCCCCACATTCGGTACGCAACACCAGACCGGTTGCTGGACAGACTCACCGACCTACGCTTCTTGTCCATCGACTTTCTCAATACTTTCTTATTGACGTACCGTGTCTTCACCGACGGCATCTCAGTTCTAGAGGCCCTGAAGAAAGTGTACTACAACCCCGACGTCCACGACCAGACAGTGGACTCCAGAGACTCTTCAGTTGAGAGGTCAGTATCTGCAGGCGATGAGTCACAATAACGTGGCTGAAGTATGTTGACCAGACCACACTAGAAGGTGAATCGACGACGACGTTTCGGTCCGTCCTGGACCATTCTCAAGTCGATTGTCAAGTCTCAAGACCATTCTCAAGTCACAATCGACTTGAGAATGGTCCAGGACGGACCGAAACGTCGTCGTCCCTTCACCTTCTAGTGTGGTTTGGTCAACATACAGGTCAGTATCTCTTCAGTAACCTTCTAGCTTGGTGTCGCAACATTTTGCTACCAATGTTTAAAATGGAAAATATATTCCCCCTTTCGTATCATGTGATAATTTTCTGGATATTGCCCTAGTATACCGCAGAGATAATTACTGTTTAAGTACCGAGTGTGCAATATAAATATAATCCAACAGAATAGTACTTGTATAAATGAGTGTAATTTGTGCACTCAGGATACAAGCGTAAGTATTGATTCTATTTATTAGAAATTAATGCATTAGAAATGTACGTTTTTTGGGAATAATGGTTATCGGCCTGTTTTGGCCTGGGATAGGCTGGGTCGAAGCCTATGCTCAGCAAAAGCATACAAATTAGACATTTGTGTTGGCAGAATCGTCTCGAGTTATATCATTGTTATCCTATCATTCTACATAATAATACGAGCGAAAAAACTTCTAAATATAAAAATATATCATTCTAAATTTAATATTAAAATATTTTCATGTAGTGGGCGTCGGTTGTGGTGCATCCCCGGGGAGACGGGAGGGAGGGGGATTGATTCAATTTAAATTTAAATTTAAATACGTTTATTGAGGTAAAATACACATAAAGGGATGAGGTAGCTCAAGCTATTCTCATCCCGTTATTGGTTCAATGGTCCTGCTGTTGCTGCGCCAGATATTTTATATATAAACAACCCAAATCAAACGTGAAATTAGATGAAAGTGACGCGCTTTGGGGGGTCCAAGACGGATTGAAATGTCATCATTTTCATTTTGATATGTTTGGGTTTGGGTTACTTGCGTCAGCCAAGTTGTTGTGACTTATTGTCTGCATTAAATGTGTTACCCGACAGATCGCCAGAATACGTAGCCTCACCACCGCCAGACATAGAGAGTGGTCGTAACTCTCCCAGACGCACCTCAACTATCAGTGCTTTCTCAGGTAAGACAAAGCCTTTAGTGTCAGCTGCCCTCAAGACGGTTACTTCATTAAGCCACATTAAACAATAATTCGCTACCTATTGACTATTAATTCTTCATTGATTTATTATTTTCACTTTAAAAGTTTTAACTTGGTTTGCGTCTGGATCTGCCAGCATAGGCTGCATGAGAAGGAATGGGAACACTCATGTTTATTCCCAAATACTGTGCATATATGAAGGATTTCGCTCGGGGAAAGGAAGTATTTCATAGCGTTCATCAAATAAGTATTTGTTTCTTTAAACCTACATTATGAGGTGTGTATATACACACAGAAATCACAATAGCGTGATGCATCCAATGAACAAATCCACAAGGGCCGTGACGAGGGTTCGAGCCTACGTCCGAGAAGACACCAGACGCTGCCTTAATCGACTGAGCTACGTAGGACGTAGGTTCGAACCCCTCGTCACGGCCCTTGTGGATTTGTTCGTGTGTATATATATGGCGTTTGGACACACACACACACACGTAGCTGAGTCTTAAGATGTAAGGTGATGGCGGCTAGTGAGTCCCCCTGATGCGAGGTGTACCGTGTGCTGCAGGGTTCGAGGTGGAGGCCCCGCGGGAGCGTTGCTGGACCTTCGACGCTCAAGTTGCAAAAGCTTCTGGCAACCAGCACTGGCGGTGGTCTTATAGGCGGTGTAAGTCCTTGTTTCTCCAACACATGTGATATTTTTTTATTTCAAAATACTTTTTTCAGAAATTTGTCTGTGTTCTTCATTGTAATGTTCCATTTTTCAAATTTTCTTTCCCAGATCTGTGATCGCTGACCTGTAGATCATATAACTTTGGTTTTTAACTAACTAGACATATGTATTTAAATTTTCTTTGATGGCCGTTAACAGACAGGGTAAAATGCTTCACAAACAACCATCCTTTAGACTAATATACAGCACACAAGCCATGCAAAGTTTGACTGGAGAGTTTTCCCGCGCACAGTTGAAGAGGAGCAGCGGGAGCAGGAGGAGCGCCGCGCGAGGGATGACGCTGCGGCCAACGAGGCGCTCTTCCACCCCAACGACAACTTTCCTGTAAGCGCTCCCAATTCTCCCTTCAGTCCTAAGAAGGTGGGTCTCTCTCTCGCTCTCTCCTGAGAGAACTAAAACGTTTTGACATGTATGCAATTATAAATCACACACACACAGTGTCAGTAATTAAAACAATAAAGACAAGATGTAACCATAGAACTGAGCAAATATGTGCAAAAGAACCAGACACAAAGGACAATGAATGATAAAAATATTCGGTGAACAGAATGAACATAGATAAAAATAGAATTAAGTGAAAAATTCAGGATGATGGTAACTCAAACATGAGATAGGTGCCACAATGGCACCTGTCTCCAGTGGCTTAAACACACAATGTAACCCCATAAAATTAGTGACGTCCGAATTCCGCCGAGTGACCGTTTTTTTCTCAACTTAGAACCATAAAATTTAAAACACTAAATCACACACATTACTCAAACTACTCGCACCCTAAACTAAACCTAATATACCTTAGTAGTTATTTTTGTTAAAAGCATTGGTGTCTGGCCCTCAAGGGGGCAGAATGATGTCCCGTGGTGCAAGCGACTCTTAACAATGTAATTACACGATAATACTGTTTTTAATCCTCACTGTTTAAAGTAATCTAACTCGTCTTAATATTATATTCACGTATTTCTTTTTTATTTAGTTTTGCATTACAGTTTTATCTAAAGATGCAACACCTAATGACATTTTATATCAAGCAATTACGTTCTTATTGCAAAAAATTATTATATATAAGATGTATAAGATGGCTACTGCATGTGCCTTTTTTAATTCGTTGTTTCTTGCGAACAAAATAATTTCTTAACTATTCTGTATTCGACTGTTTTGTATTCATCCCATCTTTCATAAATAATAGTGCAATTAACGACTAAAGAGTATATGTGAACAGTGTTTACATGGCTTCTTCAAAAACTGGAACAACCTAGCCTCTCCCAGACCTAATATAAGGAATACAAGGCCGAATGTATACCCAGTCTTATGCCTAATAGAGAAAATACAAGTACCTGATTAGGCCTTGGTAAGGATAGGTTTAGTTGAATCTTCTTTTTTTCTCGGGCAGTTAACAAAATTAATGTGCAACACAAGAAATGTGCAACAGTCCACATTTTGTACATATACTCCACAGTTTCTCTATTTACTGTTATATTTGGAGAATACGTTATATGTATTGTGTATGGTAGTATAAGACATACCCTAGTATGCTAGTAGCTCGTTAGACTCCTTACATGTTCCGTAGACAAGTCTGCTCTCACACGAATGGTTTCCCAATCGTGCAGTTGGTGAGATTATCTTGCGTTTGGCAGCCCATGTCCATCATCCTGAATTTGTCACATAAATTTCTTCTCGTGTATTTCTATCCTGTTTAACCAGCATAATTATCACTCGTTTTTCCATCACCTGATCATTATTCAATTATTTGATCAAGGATACTCACGCCATATATTCCACGGGATCTTGAGAGCCTAAACACATAAATATAATAGAAACTTTTAAGATCACACGAACTGCATATATGCAGACGATAGTTATAATGAATCTCCAAGTATTTCCTTCAAAGGTTAGTCGTCTGGCATAGATCACTAACTCCTCTGGTGATTCATCAACTGAATATTCCAATAGAGGCAAAGAATAAGCTATAATATGAAGGGGGGGGGGGGGGGGGTTCCCCGGATGCACCCAGGTCTTCACTCTCTCTCTCTCTGTCTCTCTCTCTCTCTCTCTCTCTCTCTCTCTCTCTCTCTCTCTCTCTCTATCCTCTCTCTCTCTCTCTCTCTCTTCTCTCTCTCTCTCTTCTCTCTATCTCTGTCTCTCTCTCTCTCTCTGTCCTCTCTGTCTCTCTCTCTGTCTCTCTCTGTCTCTCTCTCTGTCTCTCTCTCTCTCTCTCTCTCTCTCTCTCTCTCTCTCTCTCCTCTCTCTCTCTCTCTCTCTCTCTCTCTCTCTCTCTCTCTCTCTCTCTCTCTCTCTCTTCTCTCTCTCTCTCTCTCTCTCTCTATCTCTCTCTCTCTCTCTCTCTCTCTCCTCTCTCTCTCTCTCTCTCTCTCTCCTCACTTTCTCTCTCTCTCTCTCTCTTTCTCTCTCTCTCTCTCTCTCTCTCTCTCTCTCTCTCTCTCTCTCTCTCTCTCTCTCTCTCTCTCTCTCTCTCTCTCTCTCTCTCTCTCTCTCTCTCTCTCTCTCTCTCATTCCCTTCCCCACGTCTCTTCCCATTTCTCCCTCCCCAACTTTCTCCTCCAAGATTCCCCCTCTTCTCTCCAACTCTCCTCCGCCCCCTTTCCTACCCTCTCCTCGTTTATCAACATCCCCTCTATCCAACCTCTTCCCCATTCTCCTCCTCTTTTACCTCTCCCCCCCAGTCTCCCCCTCTCTTCAGACATCGCCCATCCTAACCCTTTTCTTCGTTTGTGAGTTGGGTTATTGATTGTTATTCACTGAGTTATTATTCAACACTTTCTCGTGAAGGATTACACCGTCTCACGCCGAGTATACGACACTGACGCTGCCTTAGTCTCGAGAGGCAGACAAATACAACATATTTGTATGTTGTAATTTATTTATACAAGAAGGTAGAGTTAGTTGGGTGAGCGCAGAGTTTGGTAATTAATTATTATAACCCTGTGGCCCAGGTTGTGACCATTAGGACGGATGACGACAATAAGTTCCTCACCATTCCCAAGGGCCGTCGCACCATCGTGGGCTCCACGTCGTCTGCAGAAACTCTCATTGGTGAAGGTAAACCATTTCATCATCCTTTAGTTTGCTCCCTTTCCCTTGGTCTGTGGCAGGGAGTCTACCTACCCAAATACCCTGCTCATGCCAAGCTGTTTTTAGTTTAGCAAATTTTTTACTGTTTTCTCGTTCATCTCGAGACTGGAAGGACGCGCGGAAGTCGCAGCTATATACATTGATTTATGAGAATATGCTGCATAATTAAAATACGATTCTCAATGATCCAGTCGAGCTTAAACCTGGCGCCCTGCGTTATCTTTGGTAGAGACCAGTCTAAGCCAACCAGACAGCCCGACAGAGATATCCACAGCCACCCTGGTGGGAGGGTCGGCCATGATGGGGTTCTCAGAGTGGCGGTTGCCCTTCGAGGGTGAACGCCATAGTCGCAGTCGTCGACCGTCCCGCATCCTGGACGCCATCACCTCCCCTCCCCGCCCCTGCTCCGTCCCCAGACGCTCTCTCCCGCGCAGGATGTCGTCGCTGGAGGAGCGCCCTCAGGTCAGTCTCTATCCCTTACCTAGTTAGTGTGTGCATACCCCCCTAGCAACATCTTTGATATCTTATGGTTAAACAAATGTAATTTAATGTACCTGCTCTTAGGCATATGTCATAATTTTCACTTAACTTATAGCTTTTTCGGAAATGTTGTCTTACATATATTGGTGTTTTTCAGTGATACAAGGGATTTATTTATTTATTTATTTATTTATTTATTTATTTATTTATTTATTTATTTATTTATTTATTTATTTATTTATTTATTTATTATTTATTTATTTATTATTATTTATATATATACAAGAAGGTACATGGGTTTGTGAGAATACATAGCATAGTATTTACAATCTTGTAAAGCCACTAGTACGCGCAGCGTTTCGGGCAGGTCCTTAATCTAACAGATTAATTTTAGTAGGTAAATTATAGCGGAATTAATAAAATGATGACAGATACATTGCAAGTAAGAAAAAATGAGATGATATATAAACAGACAGGTATACCCTGTCTGTGTTAACTTAATTCCCAGACTATGTTTAGGGCTAAAGTATAGTTGTTAGTTGGAGAGTAAGCTAATGTCACGGCTTTCCTAACCCTGGGGAGTTGACAGAGCTTAACTCGACACTAAAACTTGTGAAGAAGCTTGAAGACTAATAGATAGATTCAAGACAAACAGATAGGTTAAATACTAATATATAGGTTTAAGACTAGCAGATAGGTTTAAGACTGATATATAAGTAGATTACTCTGGCTTGCAAGATATAAATAAGCACTAGTTTCATTGTTTTGCTTTGGATGTTAAGTTAAATTATCGATCAGGGTTTGAAGGTAAGACTTTTCGAACTCCACCGTTCCAATAGCCAAATTTGAATAGACTTTCTTGGTGTGTTACATTTGGTTAGGCAATATTATGTTAGGTTATGTATAGGTTAAGGACGTATTAGGTTAATATAGTTATCTATGGTTAAATGTAAGGAGATTAACGGGCGAGTGACCGCGGTATTTCCCACTCTCTCCTAACAGCAGGTACCGTTTTCTAAACTTTAGGGAGCTATTTGATTATGCCAAGATATGTTTTAAATAAAAGTTTATTCAGGTAAGGTACATACATACAAGAGGTTTTACAAAAATTGATAGATTTATAGATAGAGCTAGTACATACAATGCCTAAAGCCACTATTACGAAAAGCGTTTCGGGCAGGAATTTTTTGTTATGGGGAAGACTAGTTTTGTTATGGGGAAGACTAGTTTTGTTATGGGGAAGACTAGTTTTGTTATGGGGAAGACTAGTTTTGTTATGGGGAAGACTAGTTTTGTTATGGGGAAGACTAGTTTTGTTATGGGGAAGACTAGTTTTGTTCTGGGGAAGAGACTAGTTTGTTATGGGGAAGACTGGTTTTGTTATGGGGAAGACTAGTTTTGTTATGGGGGAAGACTGGTTTGTTATGGGGAAGACTAGTTTGTTATGGGGAAGACTGGTTTTGTATGGGGAAGACTAGTTTGTTATGGGGAAGACTGGTTTTGTTATGGGGAAGACTAGTTTTGTTATGGGGAAGACTAGTTTTGTTTGTTATGGGGAAGACTAGTTTTGTTGTTATGGGGAAGACTAGTTTTGTTATGGGGAAGATAGTTTTGTTATGGGGAAGACTAGTTTGTTATGGGAAGACTGGTTTTGTTATGGGGGGAAGGACTAGTTTTGTTATGGGGAAGACTAGTTTGTTATGGGGAAGATGGTTTTGTTATGGGGAAGACTAGTTTTGTTATGGGGAAGACTAGTTTTGTTATGGGGAAGACTGGTTTGTTATGGGGAAGATGGTTTTGTTATGGGGAAGACTAGTTTTGTATGGGGAAGAATAGTTTGTTATGGGGAAGACTGGTTTTGTTATGGGGAAGACTAGTTTTGTTATGGGGGAAGACTAGTTTTGTTATGGGGAAGATTAGTTTGTTATGGGGAAGACTAGTTTGTTAGGGGAAGACTAGTTTTGTTATGGGGAAGACTAGTTTTGTTATGGGGAAGACTGGTTTTGTTATGGGGAAGACTAGTTTTTTATGGGGAAGACTGGTTTTGTTATGGGGAAGACTAGTTTTGTTATGGGGAAGACTGGTTTTGTTATGGGGAAGACTAGTTTGTTATGGGGAAGACTAGTTTTGTTATGGGGAAGACTAGTTTTGTTATGGGGGAAGACTAGTTTTGTTTTTGGTATGGGGAAGACTGGTTTTGTTATGGGGAAGACTAGTTTTGTTATGGGGGAAGACTAGTTTTGTTATGGGGAAGACTTTTTGTTATGGGGAAGACTAGTTTTGTTATGGGGAAGACTGGTTCGTTATGGGGAAGGACTAGTTTCGTTATGGGGAAGACTGGTTTTGTTATGGGGAAGACTAGTTTTGTTATGGGGAAGACTGGTTTTGTTATGGGGAAGACTAGTTTTGTTATGGGGAAGACTAGTTTTGTTATGGGGAAGACTGGTTTTGTTATGGGGAAGACTAGTTTTGTTATGGGGAAGACTAGTTTTGTTATGGGGAAGACTAGTTTTGTTATGGGGAAGACTAGTTTTGTTATGGGGAAGACTAGTTTTGTTATGGGGAAGACTAGTTTTGTTATGGGGAAGACTAGTTTTGTTATGAGGAAGACTAGTTTCGAGTGCAGACACTTTGTTCTTTGCAGTTTTCTAAGTCTGTAAAATGCTTCTTTACCTTCCTTGCTAAAGTTGTGGATGTGTTGTGGTAATTGAAGCCTGCTTTAGTGAGGTGAGATCTAGAGTCCTTGACACGCAAAGTGCCACCCACAACTAACTCCCCATTACTTGCATCATGAGCAACTGCTACGGAAATGAGCCTACAATATTTACGTATCCACTTACGATATCTGGAGCTCCTATACTTCCATCGTGGCAGTTTATTTTGTATTTATTAAACAGTTTGCGACCTCCGATCGAAGCGCTCCGAGGTCGTTACCAATGATAAACTTTAGTTGAAGGTAACCTGGTAGCGCCTTGGAGTTCGTATTTTGTAATAAATACAGATGAAGTCGCCATTGCTTATGTGAGCAACTTGTCCTCCTACAAAGAACGTCGCTTTTCGTTCGTATGCGTTACGTAAGGCCATAAATTGTCGTACTAGAAAATGGAAGCGGCTGGCGAAAGTGACGTACTGTCCCGTTTTCTGTTTTGGGTCCTCTGGTAGGTTAGGCGGGGACACTTTACATTGTAGGAAATGTAGATGTTTATCTCTCAGAATGTTTGGTAATAAGTTTATTGTTTGTGATGTGTTTATATGTATGTATTAACACGATGTACTGAACGAGGGTGAGAATAGCTTGAACTACCTCATCCCTTTGTGTGTATTTTACCTCAATAAACTTATTTCAATTTCAATTTCAACTTTACATTGACCGTTTTCTTGACTTTGGGAAATCTTAGGAGGACGGACTGATGTAAGAGGGAGAGATTCTGCAAGTCATGTGCCCTCAGGATTCACAAGTGCTTTCTGAATCATGGCCCCGTAAGGCGCCTGACAGCTGGGTGGACAGCGCTTCGGATTCGTAGTCCTGAGGTTCTGGGTTCGATACCCGGTGGAGGCGGAGACAAATGTTTCTTTCACCTTGATGCCCCTGTTACCTAGCAGTAAATAGGTACCTGGGAGTTAGACAGCTGCTACGGGCTGCTTCCTGGGGGTGGAGGCCTGGTTGAGGACCGGGCCGTGGGGACACTAAGCCCAGAAATCATCTCAAGATAACGGTTTCTTAACCAGGGAAGGGAACTATCAAGGGGAAAGCACCAAGCCACTAAGGCTATATAGCACTGGGAAGGGGGGGGGGGGAAGCAGGATAAGGGTTTGAGATGGGACGGGAGGAAGGAATGGTGAGCGGTTTCTTAACCAATGAGCTGCATATAATATTGGCTATATAACTTGACTCTTACGGGCTCACCATAGCCCGTGCTACATAGATACTTCGACCTGAGTAGCTAAATCTGAAGCAACAACTTGAAGCACAGTTGCGTAAAAATGTCGGTGCCTCAAGGAAATATAACCCACCGCAATACCGACGTGTCTAGGGAGTAATGACCACTAATAGGTTGGGTGTGTGGCTCAGGTTCCTACCATATACATCAGGTAACACGCGTCTACAAGGATGCCTCAACACAAACTTGGATTGATAAATTAAATATAGAACATATTGGCGTCGTTCCACTGGCCTTTCATGCCACAGATTAAATTAATATCTTTTATTATTATTATTATTATTATTATTATTATTATTATTATTATTATTATTATTATTATTACAAAACCTTACTGGTTGCAGTGTTTCGTTATTTGTGGTTGCGCTATTTATGGTTATTTATTTATGGTTTTATATATTTATGGTTAACTTCACCTTTCCTAAAGTTATTGAATGTTAGATTTGCATCTTAAAACTGGAATGTGAGAGAAAAATACAAACGATATCTCGTGCGATGGCTGAAGAAAGTTTCCATTTTCAGGGATGGAACAAAATCGAGGCTGCGACATCGGGTTCGGAAGCCGAGGACGAGCAGGACACCCTCGGTATAGGAGCCAGGCGCCGCTCCTCCTCACACAGGTCCCACAGCACCGCCTTGACGTCCTCCTCCGGGTTCCTCCTCGTTGGACCACGAACAAAAGGTGGCAAGAGGCTGAGTTGCGAGAGTGAAGCAGCTTTCTCTGCTCTTGGCGCCCTGGCTTCTCCTCGCTCCAGTGTCCACACGGCCACGCCCAGGTCCTCCTTCCAGGTAGGCCTACACCTTCTGGTCTCAACACGTCCTCGACCAGGTCCTCTTTCCAGGTAGGCCTACACCTTCTGGTCTCAACACGTCCTCGACCAGGTCCTCTTTCCAGGTAGGCCTACACCTTCTGGTCTCAACACGTCCTCGACCAGGTCCTCTTTCCAGGTAGGCCTACACCTTCTTATCTCAACACGTCCTCGACCAGGTCCTCATTCCAGGTAGGCCTACAGGTCCTTGTCTCCTAACGCCCAGGCCCAGGTCGACCGGTCACGACAACCTGCAGGTCTTCCCTCCAAGTACAGGTGATACAAGGGTAGTGTTAAGGTCGCGTTTACCATCCTTGTACTGGAAGATTTTTTTTTGTTAACAAAATATTTGTTAAAAGGATATTTCGTATACGAAATTTGGTTCTCATTAATAGTGCGAGTTGTACGTCTTAAAGAGGTTGGCGTGAGTGTTTAATGCTGCATAATCTGCTGGTCATTATTAATGCTGCATAATCTGTTGGCAGGTTGATACGGGAGAGAAGCTGTCACCCAAGCAGCAAGCAATACTTAACTAGTACCCAGTTAACTATTAAATAAGGAAAACCAATTCTACGACATTAATACTTAGAGCCGGTCGGCCGAGCGGACAGCACGCTGGACTTGTGATCCTGTGATCCCGGATTCGATTCCGGGCGCCGGCGAGAAACAATGGCCAAAGTTTCTTTCACCCTATGGCCCTGTTACCTAGCAGTAAAATAGGTACCTGGTTGTTAGTCAGCTGTCACGGGCTGCTTCCTGGGGGTGGAGGCCTGGTCGAGGACCGGGCCGCGGGGACACTAAAGCCCCGAAATCATCTCAGGATAACCTCAAGATCTAGCATCCATCCGGTTTACTAAGGATGATGGCTCATCCTCCGTTATGTTCTGCAAGAAGGAGTGTAAACAATTACTTCTGAATAAGTTGCATGAGATAATAATGAAAATATTTGCGGAGCAATGCTACGGAATTGAACTCGCGTCGCCAACCATTTTCTCAGAGCTATATGAAACTGCTAATTTCGTATAGTGCCTTGTTAATAACGCAGGAGTGAATCTTCCCTGATTCTTAGATCTTATTGGCTCTTCCTCTCCAGGTGCCAGACTCTCCCTCACACTCCGTGTCCAGAGTCGGGGTCGTCATCACCTCCTCCAGGCAGTCCCAGCGCAGGTGAGGTTCTCCCCCCCCCCTCCCAGTCCTCCGTTCTACCTCCTCCAGGAAGTCTCAGCGCAGACCGCCTGGTACTGCCCTCCGCAAGTACTTACGAACGTGTACATTTTTCCTCAATCTTTGACGGCTTTGGTTACATTTATTAAACAGTTTACAAGCATGAAAACTTGCCAATCAACTGTTGTTATTGTTATAAACAGCCTCCTGGTGCTTCGGAGCTAATTAACTGTTTAATACTTGTAAACAAAGCCGCCAAAGATTGAGGAAAGATGTACACGTTCGCAAGTGCTTGCGTAACTGCTTCGTGAATCTGGCCCCTCAGGTATATATCTGTTTGCAAATAAGCACAGGTTGTGTGGGGCGTGAGATGCTGCACCACGCCAGATGGGAACACAGTAATACCTCTTGTATAGTGACACTCCTCTTATGATATAGTGGCACACCTCTTTAATAGTGTCACATCTATCAAATGGTGTGTGGTCTAGTGTAGTGTCCCCAGTACTCTGATATAGTGTCTCACCTCTCATATAGTGTCCCCAGCACTCTTGATATAGTGTCTCACCTCTCATATAGTGTCCCCAGCACTGATATAGTGTCCCCATCACTCTGATATAGTGTCTCACCTCTCATATAGTGTCCTCAGCACTGATATAGTGTCTCACCTCTCATATAGTGTCCCCAGCACTCTGATATAGTGTCTCACCTCTCATATAGTGTCCCCAGCACTCTGATATAGTGTCTCACCTCTCATATAGTGTCCCCAGCACTGATATAGTGTCTCACCTCTCATATAGTGTCCTCAGCACTGATATAGTGTCTCACCTCTCATATAGTGTCCTCAGCACTGATATATTGTGTCTCACCACTCATATAGTGTCCCCAACACTCTGATATAGTGTCTCACCACTCTTATAGTGTCCCCAGCACTCTGATATAGTGTCTCACCACTCATATAGTGTCCCCAGTACTCTGATATAGTGTCTCACCTCTCATATAGTGTCCCCAGCACTCTGATATAGTGTCTCACCTCTCATATAGTGTCCCCAGCACTCTGATATAGTGTCTCACCTCTCATATAGTGTCCTCAGCACTGATATAGTGTCTGACCTCTCATATAGTGTCCTCAGCACTGATATAGTGTCTCACCACTCATATAGTGTCCCCAACACTCTGATATAGTGTCTCACCACTCTTATAGTGTCCCCAGCACTCTGATATAGTGTCTCACCACTCATATAGTGTCCCCAGTACTCTGATATAGTGTCTCACCTCTCATATAGTGTCCCCAGCACTGATATAGTGTCTCACCTCTCATATAGTGTCCCCAGCACTCTGATATAGTGCCTCACCTCTCATATAGTGTCCCCAGTACTCTGATATAGTGTCTCACCTCTCATATAGTGTCCCCAGTACTCTGATATAGTGTCTCACCACTCATATAGTGTCCCCAACACTCTGATATAGTGTCTCACCTCTCATATAGTGTCCCCAGTACTCTGATATAGTGTCTCACCACTCATATAGTGTCCCCAACACTCTGATATAGTGTCTCACCTCTCATATAGTGTCCCCAGCACTCTGATATAGTGTCTCACCTCTCATATAGTGTCCCCAGTACTCTGATATAGTGTCTCACCTCTCATATAGTGTCCCCAACACTCTGATATAGTGTCTCACCTCTCATATAGTGTCCCCAACACTCTGATATAGTGTCTCACCTCTCATATAGTGTCCCCAACACTCTGATATAGTGTCTCACCACTCATATAGTGTCCCCAACACTCTGATATAGTGTCTCACCACTCATATAGTGTCCCAACACTCTGATATAGTGTCTCACCACTCATATAGTGTCCCCAACACTCTGATATAGTGTCTCACCACTCATATAGTGTCCCCAACACTCTGATATAGTGTCTCACCACTCATATAGTGTCCCCAGCACTCTGATATAGTGTCTCACCACTCATATAGTGTCCCCAGCACTCTGATATAGTGTCTCACCACTCATATAGTGTCCCCAGTACTCTGATATAGTGTCTCACCACTCATATAGTGTAACCAACACTCTGATATAGTGTCTCACCTCTCATATAGTGTCCCCAGCACTCTGATATAGTGTCTCACCACTCATATAGTGTCCCCAACACTCTGATATAGTGTCTCACCACTCATATAGTGTCCCCCAACACTCTGATATAGTGTCTCACCACTCTTATAGTGTCCCCAGCACTCTGATATAGTGTCTCACCTCTCATATAGTGTCCCCAACACTCTGATATAGTGTCTCACCTCTCATATAGTGTCCCCAGCACTCTGATATAGTGTCTCACCTCTCATATAGTGTCCCCAGCACTCTGATATAGTGTCTCACCACTCATATAGTGTCCCCCAACACTCTGATATAGTGTCACCACTCATATAGTGTCCCCCAACACTGATATAGTGTCTCACCTCTCATATAGTGTCCCCAACACTCTGATATAGTGTCTCACCACTCATATAGTGTCCCCAGCACTCTGATATAGTGTCTCACCACTCATATAGTGTCCCCAACACTCTGATATAGTGTCTCACCACTCTTATAGTGTCCCCAACACTCTGATATAGTGTCTCACCTCTCATATAGTGTCCCCAACACTCTGATATAGTGTCTCACCTCTCATATAGTGTCCCCAACACTCTGATATAGTGTCTCACCACTCATATAGTGTCCCCAACACTGATATAGTGTCTCACCACTCTTATAGTGTCCCCAACACTGATATAGTGCCTCACCACTCTTATAGTGTCCCCAACACTCTGATATAGTGTCTCACCTCTCATATAGTGTCCCCAACACTCTGATATAGTGTCTCACCACTCATATAGTGTCCCCAACACTCTGATATAGTGTCTCACCTCTCATATAGTGTCCCCAACACTCTGATATAGTGTCTCACCACTCATATAGTGTCCCCAGCACTCTGATATAGTGTCTCACCTCTCATATAGTGTCCCCAACACTGATATAGTGTTTCACCACTCTTATAGTGTCCCCAACACTCTGATATAGTGTCTCACCACTCATATAGTGTCCCCCAACACTCTGATATAGTGTCTCACCTCTCATATATCTAGTCTCTGTCTTCTGATACAGTCATCTCTCCTGGTTCTGGGTGCTCTTTGTTTCTGGCGGATAACATATTTGATCATGTAAGTCAGCTGTTCTTATCGGTCGTAACAGGAGCAGCAGCGCATCTGCCGCGGCGGCCTTCGCTGTGGCCACGGCCGGCTCCAGCAACCCGAGGGACCTGCCCAAGACCCCGCCCCTCGGCCGCTTCTCCGTGGGCGGGGAGGGACGCCGCTCCTCCTTCAGGGAGCGACCTCGCCAGGAGTCCATCATATCGACGGCGGCCACTATGCGGGTGCTCAACGTCCTCCGGCACTGGGTCTCTAAGCACTCTCAAGTAATTATTCAGTCCTTATGTTATTAACTTAGATCTTCCTTCATGGCCTCTGTCTCTTGTGGTGTTGTTGTGTTACTGTGGTGCCCCCCCCCCTCGCCAGCCCCTGACAGACGCAAGTTCGAGTCCATCATATAACCTCATATATTTCCTCATAGATATATATCACGTTCTTGTGATTACATTGTGCTTTGATGTCTTTCCTGTTCGTCTTTATTAATACAAATAATCATTGCGGAGTTCGCTGCAGTTTCGTGAACAGAGAACAAAGAAAACGGGTGACCTTCTTTTGCTGCAGGACTTCGATACTGACCCGCGACTCAGGAATATGACCATCGAGTTCCTGGAGGACCTGGTGTGCTGCCCGACGCTGCTGCCGGCCGAGCACAAGGCCGCCTCCCAGCTGCTGCGTCTCCTCACCAAGGAGGAGCCCGCTAACCCCCACGTCGACCTCAACACCCTCCTCGCACCCCCCACGGTACGTCGACCTGTAGTACCCTTCCCCTCCCCCCGCCCCCCACGGTACGTCGACCTTTAGTACCCTTCCCTCCCCCCCCCACGGTACGTCGACCTGTAGTACCCTTCCCCCCCCCACGGTACGTCGACCTGTAGTACCCTTCCCCCCCTCCCGCCCCCCACGGTACGTCGACCTTCAGTACCCTTCCCCTCCCCCCGCCCCCCACGGTACGTCGACCTTTAGTACCCCTCCTCCACCCCCCCACGGTACGTCGACCTTTAGTACCCCTCCCCAACCCCAACCCCCACGGTACGTGGCCCCGTAGTACCCTCCCCTTCCCCCCCCCACGGTACGTCGAGCTGTAGTACCCTTCCCCTCCCCCCCCCCCACGGTACGTCGACCTGTAGTACCCTTCCCTTCACACCCCCCCTCCCCCTCGGAGCGTCGACCTCAACACCCGAAAATACCTCGAAGATATTTATAATATCTTTATTATAAATAATTATAATTAAATAATATGGCTAATAACGTATAAATCATCGTATATGTAACTGTCACTCAGCATGGCCAGCAAGGTCAGTAATATTTGTTTATTTCAGACGCCGAGCAAGGAGAGCATCGAGACGCTGTCAGCGCTGGAAGTTGCCGAACAGATGACCTACATTGACCATCAGATCTTCGTGGCCATTAGGAGCGAGTAAGTGTCCTCATTCTTTTATGTTGGCTTCCAGACTAGCAGGCTACAGGAGGGGCAACTAGCACGGCCTTCATACACTAGTAACGGATCACAGTTATTATCACTGGATTTATACAGTGTTGTTTTATAGCGTTGTAACACAGTTGCTGTGCCAAGGACACTTCTCTGCCTCATTCAGACACCTTGCGTCACACAAACACATACTCTGCCTCATTCAGACACCTTGCGTCACACAAACACATACTCTGCCTCATTCAGACACCTTGCGTCACACAAACACACTCTGCCTCATTCAGACACCTTGCGTCACACAAACACATACTCTGCCTCATTCAGACACCTTGCGTCACACAAACACACTCTGCCTCATTCAGACACCTTGCGTCACACAAACACATACTCTGCCTCATTCAGACACCTTGCGTCACACAAACACACTCTGCCTCATTCAGACACCTTGCGTCACACAAACACATACTCTGCCTCATTCAGACACCTTGCGTCACACAAACACATACTCTGCCTCATTCAGACACCTTGCGTCACACAAACACACACTCTGCCTCATTCAGACACCTTGCGTCACACAAACACATACTCTGCCTCATTCAGACAGTGGGGGGGGGGCCTAGTAGCCTGGTGGATAGCACGCAGGACTCGTAATTCTGTGGCGCAGGTTCGATTCCCACACCAGGCAGAAACAAGTGGGCAAAGTTTCTTTCACCCTGAATGCCCCTGTTACCTAGCAGTAAATAGGTACCTGGGAGTTAGTCAGCTGTCACAGGCTGCTTCCTGGGGTAGGTGTGTGTGTGGTGTAGAAAAAAAAGTAGTTAGTAAACAGTTGATTGACAGTTGAGAGGCGGGCCGAAAGAGCAAAGCTCAACCCCCACAAACACAACTAGGTGAATACAGTTGCTCTGCCTTATAGACGCATAATAACACCCCCCCCCCCTCATTCCGGGTACTGTACTGTACCCTCTGAGATGGCCCGAGTCACTCCCATCTCTGTGGTTCTTACAGCACACACTCACTCTACTGAACCTATTCAACCTTGATCATCCTTAGGGCTTCACTTTTCTGAGAAAGATATAAACGTCATGGCAGTGTGTAGGTAGGAAGTGTATATGAATGCTATCACACTGATGACTATGTGTGTGTTGTTGAGTTGCTGGAGTTGAGATGCTGGTGATGAGTTGATGGTGTTGACTAACATTATGTGTGGCCTCGTGCCTGTCTCCTCCTGCCAGGGAGTTCCTCAAGACGGCGTGGATGAAGCCAGACAAGCAGCTCAGAGCCCCTGACATACTTCTCATCACCCGTCGCTTTAATGAGGTCAGTTCCTTCCCTCGCCCAGTTGTATTGTCTTGTAAATCAACTAAGATGGTTCTTAGAAGCGAAAGCAGTGTATTAACTCCCGGTGCTACATAGCCTTCCCAACTTGGTGCCTTCTTTTGATAATTACTTACTTAGTTACTGATACTGTTCCTAAAATCCCCTTATATATTTGTTGATATAAAATATAAAATAAGTATTAAAACCAACACTTTATATCTCATTCGTTTTGTTTATTAACATAATGAGACACTTTGCCATTTAAACAGCTTTGCTAGACTATGAAGAGTGTAAGTGCGCGAGTGTGTGGCCGTTAATTACAATTACAACTAATTACAAATTAATTACAACTCTTGGTTCGTCAAGAGTATTAGCAGATTCTACAGCATCCGGGGCACTATTAAACAGTCATTGAAGCCGTACGTTGAAGTCCAAGCCGCGTTCCTGAACTTCTCATGTACACACACACACACACACACACACACACACACACACACACACACACACACACACACACACACACACACACACACACACACACACACACACACACACACACACACACACACACACACACACACACACACACACACACACACACACACACACACACACACACACACACACACACACACACACACACACACACTACCGAGTAGACCCGAGAAATCCAGGAACGAGGGTTCGATCCCACCGCACGGTCTCAATATTTATTCGTGAATTCGTGACGTATGCCTGTGATGTCACGGGGACTCAGTTATTGTTTACCGCTGCTGCTGCTACAGATGTCGCGACTGGTGGTATCCGAGGTTATCCGGGGCGCCACGCTGGCCTCCCGCATCGCTGTTATCGAGAAGTGGGTCGCCGTGGCTGATATCTGCCGCTGTCTTCACAACTACAATGGCGTCCTGCAGGTCAGTCAGGCGGCTCTCCCGCCGTCATTAATTGATTGCCGATGGGAATTATTACGATGTGCTTTTGTTTAGACTCGTTTTGTCGTTTGTTTACATTTTTAGACACACGCACACGCACGCACGCACGCACGCACGCACGCACGCACGCACATATATAGTTGCCACAACTAGGTGAACACACAGTTGATTGACAGTTGAGAGGCGGGACCAAAGAGCCAAAGCTCATCCCCTGCAAGCACAATTAGGTGAGTACACACACACACACACATACACACACACACACACACACACACACACACACACACACACACACACACACACACACACACACACACACACACACACACACACACACACACACACATACACACACACACACACACACAAGCACAAACGCACACACACACACTCCCTACATATTCTCTCTCTCTCTCCATCAATAGTAGAATGAATGGTAGAAAATCTTCCATCAGCAGAGGAGGAGGAAGACTTGTGAGACAGTCCTCTCAGTGGTGTGTGTGTGTGTGTGTGTGTGTGTGTGTGTGTGTGTGTGTGTGTGTGTGTGTGTGTGTGTGTGTGTGTGTGTGTGTGTGTGTGTGTGTTTGTGTGTGTGTGTGTGTGTGTGAGGAAAGGCGACGACAGTGTAGGGGGGAGGGAGCAACAAAGGAGGAACAAGGAGGTGGAATATAAGACAATAAGGACATTTAAACTCTTATTATTATTTTGCAAAACAATGCGGGAAGGAAGGAAGGAGGCCTTTTGAAGATAGCTATGGCGATAATTTATGAAAGAACACAGGTTGATGTAGAAACTTTAGGGTGTTATGCTGGTTAAGTTTCTCGTGCCTATTATGTATTCAAGGTTACAATGCAAACTTTATGGTTTTTGATATATCAGTGTAAATCAGAAGTGGGATATTCAAAGCTTAAATGAGTCTATGGGACACGGGCATTTTGGACACCGAATCTACCAACTTAGTATCTGATTTTGTTAACATTAACAAAATGTACGTATTCTCTCATGTCCCCAGATGCAGGAATGTGACCTGATGTATTTGTGAAGGAGATACACTAACCATCATGCAGAAAGATATCAATCATCCATATAGTTCACATTTACATTCTTATGTATATATATATTATAATACAGTTTACCTTTGAATATCTCAAGACATGGTATATATTATCATATTCTGTAAATATATGTAAACTTGTGATTATGTAAAGCCGAGCCTAACTCTGGCTGGTGTCTACAGGTGTGTGCAGCCTTCCAGAACTCCTCTGTGTTTCGACTCAAGAAAACATGGGAAAAAGTCTCCAAAACTGTGAGTAAGAGAAAAGGATAAGTCTGGATGAGTGCTTGTACGTAATGGAACTATTTCTGACACTTTACATTATTTATACAAATAATAGCCTAATATCCGTGTTTTTAAAAAGAACATTTGTAGCGTATTTTAAAACTACAACAAAACGCCTTCTACACGACACAGCTCACAACACTCTCCATTATGTAAATGGGGAGAGAAAAAAGAAGATAAATAGACCTTTTCGATAACGCTTCACCGGTAGGACCTTCATCATATTAATTTAGATTTGGTAAAGTGCATATAAGCGTGACGTCATTTATAAAATAAAGGCAACTTTCTTGCTTTTTCTACGTCGCTGTCAACACTTTGTCATCTCTACAAGCAAGTTATGCTGTATACGACTTACTCGGAAAAAATCAAACTTACTTTATATGAAAAGAGGAAATTGCAGAAAGCCTATTGGCCTGTGCGAGGTAGCCTATTGGCCTGTGCGAGGTAGCCTATTGGCCTATGCGAGGTAGCTCTTATTTATACTCTCCTATAATCAGTCACATATTTGTCTAACTATCGCAAGAGGCAACACAGCAGTCTATAGTAGTATTTTAGTAGCTAGCAATCTCTTCCATAAATTATTTATTCTATTTGCAAACCAATATTTGGCCAGGTCTTTTCTGAGTCTACGCTTAATTAATTCGTATTCTATTTATTTAGCACCTTATTAATATATTTACTCATATTAATATTTATTAATATATTTCGCACCCAATTAATATCTCCATTTGTGTACATCAATTAAGTCTCCTTTACTCCTCATAAGTGCGGTGCTAATGTTCGTGACAACCTGATTATCCTTCTGTGTACGCTATTATTAATAATTTCAAGCTCTTCAAAGGTTCAGCTCTCTGGCCATCCACACTCGCCTGAACCAGTCAACTTATGTCTCAGCTACAGTCTTTACCGTATATACCTCACCATTCAAATCTGATGAATACTTTCTCCGTCTTATCTTTTTCTCTTCGTTGTTATAATATTATCTTTACAATATCTGTTTGTTTCCAACGTACTTAAGATTTCCCCTTCCTCCCGCCCGTCCCCTAATGTCCATGTAGCGAGCTATGATTTACTTTGAAAATAATGTATGTTTAGTCTTTTGAATTCATGTGTAACCTATTTATGATGGCATGTCACACACTGTGGTGCAGGGTACACTTGATATCATGCACTGTGGTGCTTGATACACCGGATATCATGCACTGTGGTGCTTGATACACCGGATATCATGCACTGTGGTGCTGGGTACACTTGATATCATGCACTGTGGTGCTTGATACACCGGATATCATGCACTGTGGTGCTGGGTACACTTGATATCATGCACTGTGGTGCTGGGTACACTTGATATCATGCACTGTGGTGCTGGGTACACTTGATATCATGCACTGTGGTGCTTGATACACCGGATATCATGCACTGTGGTGCTGGGTACACTTGATATCATGCACTGTGGTGCTGGGTACACTTGATATCATGCACTGTGGTGCTGGGTACACTTGATATCATGCACTGTGGTGCTGGGTACACTTGATATCATGCACTGTGGTGCTTGATACACCGGATATCATGCACTGTGGTGCTGGGTACACTTGATATCATGCACTGTGGTGCTTGATACACCGGATATCATGCACTGTGGTACTTGGTACACCGGGTATCATGCACTGTGGTGCTTGGTACACCGGATATCATGCACTGTGTTGCTGGGTACACCGGGTATCATGCACTGTGGTGCTGGGTACACCGGATATCATGCACTGTGGTGCTGGGTACACCGGATATCATGCATTGTGGTGCTTGGTACACCGGATATCATGCATTGTGTTGCTTGGTACACCGGATATCATGCACTGTGGTGCTTGGTACACCGGATATCATGCACTGTGGTGCTGGGTACACCGGATATCATGCACTGTGGTGCTGGGTACACCGGATATCATGCACTGTGGTGCTTGGTACACCGGATATCATGCATTGTGTTGCTTGGTACACCGGATATCATGCACTGTGGTGCTTGGTACACCGGGTATCATGCACTGTGGTGCTTGGTACACCGGATATCATGCACTGTGGTACTTGGTACACCGGATATCATGCATTGTGTTGCTTGGTACACCGGATATCATGCATTGTGTTGCTTGGTACACCGGATATCATGCACTGTGTTGCTGGGTACACCGGATATCATGCACTGTGGTGCTGGGTACACCGGATATCATGCACTGTGGTGCTGGGTACACCGGGTATCATGCACTGTGGTGCTGGGTACACCGGGTATCATGCACTGTGGTACTGGGTACACCGGGTATCATGCACTGTGGTGCTTGGTACACCGGGTATCATGCATTGTGTTGCTTGGTACACCGGATATCATGCACTGTGGTGCTGGGTACACCGGGTATCATGCACTGTGGTACTGGGTACACCGGGTATCATGCACTGTGGTACTGGGTACACCGGGTATCATGCACTGTGGTACTGGGTACACCGGATATCATGCACTGTGGTGCTGGGTACACCGGGTATCATGCACTGTGGTACTGGGTACACCTGATATCATGCACTGTGGTGCTGGGTACACCGGGTATCATGCACTGTGGTGCTGGGTACACCGGATATCATGCACTGTGGTGCTGGGTACACCGGATATCATGCACTGTGGTGCTGGGTACACTTGATATCATGCATTGTGTTGCTTGGTACACCGGATATCATGCACTGTGGTGCTTGGTACACCGGATATCATGCACTGTGGTGCTGGGTACACCGGATATCATGCACTGTGGTACTTGGTACACCGGATATCATGCACTGTGGTACTTGGTACACCGGATATCATGCATTGTGTTGCTTGGTACACCGGATATCATGCATTGTGTTGCTTGGTACACCGGATATCATGCATTGTGTTGCTTGGTACACCGGATATCATGCACTGTGGTGCTGGGTACACCGGATATCATGCATTGTGTTGCTTGGTACACCGGATATCATGCATTGTGTTGCTTGGTACACCGGATATCATGCATTGTGTTGCTTGGTACACCGGATATCATGCACTGTGGTACTGGGTACACCGGGTATCATGCACTGTGGTGCTTGGTACACCGGGTATCATGCATTGTGTTGCTTGGTACACCGGATATCATGCACTGTGGTACTGGGTACACCGGATATCATGCACTGTGGTACTGGGTACACCGGATATCATGCACTGTGGTACTGGGTACACCGGATATCATGCACTGTGGTGCTGGGTACACCGGGTATCATGCACTGTGGTGCTGGGTACACCGGGTATCATGCACTGTGGTACTGGGTACACCGGGTATCATGCACTGTGGTGCTTGGTACACCGGGTATCATGCACTGTGGTGCTTGGTACACCGGATATCATGCACTGTGGTACTGGGTACACCGGGTATCATGCATTGTGGTGCTGGGTACACCGGGTATCATGCACTGTGGTACTGGGTACACCGGGTATCATGCACTGTGGTGCTGGGTACACCGGGTATCATGCATTGTGGTGCTTGGTACACCGGGTATCATGCATTGTGTTGCTTGGTACACCGGGTATCATGCACTGTGGTACTGGGTACACCGGGTATCATGCACTGTGGTACTGGGTACACCGGATATCATGCACTGTGGTACTGGGTACACCGGGTATCATGCACTGTGGTACTGGGTACACCGGGTATCATGCACTGTGGTACTGGGTACACCGGATATCATGCACTGTGGTACTGGGTACACCGGGTATCATGCACTGTGGTACTGGGTACACCGGGTATCATGCACTGTGGTGCTTGGTACACCGGGTATCATGCATTGTGGTGCTTGGTACACTGGCTATCATGCACTGTGGTGCTTGGTACACCGGGTATCATGCACTGTGGTACTGGGTACACCGGGTATCATGCACTGTGGTGCTTGGTACACCGGGTATCACGCATTACAGTGCTTGACACACGAGATGCCACATAAACCCTAACTTTCAAATGTTACAGCCTTGAAATTGTATTTTATCCCAATACCTCGAATGGCCATAAAGCAGAAAGAGTTTCCTACAGACACGGCAGACGCTGGAGAAGCTGCAGGCGCTGGTCTCCTCCGACGGGCGGTTCCGGAGCCTGCGGGACGCTCTCCACCGCTGCGACCCGCCCTGCATTCCCTACCTGGGCATGTACCTCACTGACCTCTCTTTCATAGAAGAAGGCACCCCGAACTTCACGGATGAAAACCTTCTCAATTTTTCAAAGATGAGGATGGTATGTAGCGCAGCCTTGTTAATATATATTTTGTCACGTATTTGTATAGATATTTATTTACAAAGGAAGTTATGACACATTGATTTTGTTAAATTTATTTGTTGTAAGGGACCTGGTGTTCCTCCACAGACAATGTGACCACAGGGTCCTTGTCTCCCACTGCTTAATCCCGGAACCACAACTCACAGAGACCTTCCCTAGACCTCTGAGTACAACCAGGACCCGACGAAGAAACAATAGTCCTTGGAATATTAAAACTTACACGTCAACCTGCTGATAATGGCGGATTTTCTGGTGTCGAATAAACTCAGTCAACGCCTCTTGTAGATTATTTAATCTGTCTAACATTTATATGATACTCTTTTGTTTGTTGTGTTCTATTTTCTCTTGAATCTGATTTCCTGTTTTCTCTGTATATTTACCTCGGTATAGGAATTAGTAATGAAAAGTAACTTTGTTCCTGGTATTAATATTATGATCTCTGGAGTCACAGAGATATTTCACATTTCATTTCTTTACTGACATCATAAGATGGCAGTAAAGAACAAAATATAACACACTCGGGTTTACTCGTGGGTGTTATATTTTGAGATACATATTTTATTTTATTTATTTATATACAAGAAGGTACATTGGGTTTGTGAGAATACATAGCATAGTATTTACAATCTTGTAAAGCCACTAGTACGAGCAGCGTTTCGGGCAGGTCCTTAATCTAACAGATAATTTTAAGTAGGTAAATTCTAGCAGAATTAATAAAATGATAACAAATATAGTGATAACATACACTATACATAATTTGTCCTCCAGTCAAGCAAACATAATGTATTTGTGTCTTGACAGTATATTGTCCTTGAGAAATACTGGCTCACTCGAGCGCCAGAGTTCAACAGGGCCTAAGTCATACAGAGTGTGAGCCTAACTATAATATTACAATATCAATTATCACTCTGTATCCGAAAATTACCAGAATACCTTGACTCTGCCAGTCAGATCTCAGATTATTAATATATCTCATATATAATATGAGCTCCTTGATCCTATTATTATGGTTCGCATTCATCCAATAGGTTTATAACTATTCCACAATTATCTTGAGATGATTTCGGGGCTTAGCGTCCCTGCGGCCCGGTCCTTGACCAGGCCTATTTTTTGTTACATACCCCCAGGAAGCAGCCCGTAACAGCTGTGTAACTCCCATTTACCTATTTACTGCTAGGTGAACAGGTGCATCAGGGTGCAAGAAACTCTGCCCATTTGTTTCCGCCTCCACCAGGGATTGAACCCGGAACCTCAGGGACTACGAATCCCGAGGGCTGACCACTCACCTGTCAGGCCCCCTGACAGTAGACTCCAATGATGTCATTAGGACATTAATGGCTTCCCAGCCACTACGTAACTCGGAGATCAAACCCTCTAAGTTTAAAATCCCGTGGACAGGTCCTCAGCTGACACATTCATCTCTCTGACAGTTCTGGGAGAGTGTGAGATAGTCAAATATGGCTTGAAACTCCCTAGAATTTAATTTTGATTCATATATTTTGCAGTGTTACCGTCTCAGCTTTTCACGGTTTTCACTGTTCATTGTCACCAATCCATTGTAATTTTTCTTTTAATTCTAACATCCAAGTTATTCGTATGTGCTTCTGATCGTCCAGGAAGTATATAAAGGACGTACGTAGAGTACGTCCTTATGTACGTACATAGAGTACGTCCTTATGTACGTACGTAGAGTACGTCCTTATGTACGTACGTAGAGTACGTCCTTATGTACGTACGTAGAGTACGTCCTTATGTACGTACGTAGAGTACGTCCTTATGTACGTACGTAGAGTACGTCCTTATTACGTACGCGTCCTTATGTACGTACGTAGAGTACGTCCTTATGTACGTACGTAGAGTACGTCCTTATGTACGTACGTATTATTATGCCCGCTATATCCCCCCCCCCCACAGATTGCTCACGTCATCCGCGAGATCCGACACTTTCAGCAGACGCCCTACAAGATAGAACACAACCCTCGCGTGACATCATACCTGCTGGACCCTACCTTACTGCTGAGCGATGACAACTTGTACCGCATGTCCCTGGACCTGGAGCCGCGCAGGTCCACCCTGACGCACGTCACCGCGCCCCTGCTGGCCGCCACCGCCTCCTCCGCTTCTTCGTCCAGCTCGTCCTCCTGACAGCGGCGCCGGACGGCCGGAGAGATCTGGGTTAGCATCTGAGGCCCGCCCCCCTGGAGCCGTGATGCATAACAGGGGGGCGTAACAGAATGGTCTCTCATACCCAGCACGCCACAGGACCCAAGCAATATACATCATTTCAGAACTGTGACAATATTTATATTATTAGCTATTTTTTGTGTTGGCTTCTAACTTTTTACAGCAGATTACATGCACTGTTTAGAGATGGATTAGTGTACACGAAGTAATGGAGCTGAGTAAGAAGGATAAACATTATGAAATTACCTATTAATTTCCCAATCTATGACACTGGATAGCTTGTAAAAAAAAAGAGGCATTTTGACTGATCCTAATGATATTAAGGTAAAGGCATGAAGATTGTTAGTGAACCTTGAGCGTGGTGTGTTGGGTAGTTTGTCGTCACGTGGTGGTGAGGGCTGAGTGTGGCACTGCCTCACCACTGTCGTCACGTGGTGGTGAGGGCTGAGTGTGGCACTGCCTCACCACTGTCGTCACATGGTGGTGAGGGCTGAGTGTGGCACTGCCTCACCACTGTCGTCACGTGGTGGTGAGGGCTGAGTGTGGCACTGCCTCACCACTGTCGTCACGTGGTGGTGAGGGCTGAGTTTGGCACTGCCTCACCACTGTCGTCACGTGGTGGTGAGGGCTGAGTGTGGCACTGCCTCACCACTGTCGTCACGTGGTGGTGAGGGCTGAGTGTGGCACTGCTTCACCACTGTCGTCACGTGGCGGTGAGGGCTGAGTGTGGCACTGCCTCACCACTGTCGTCACGTGGTGGTGAGGGCTGAGTGTGGCACTGCCTCACCAGTGTCGTCACGTGGTGGTGAGGGCTGAGTGTGGCACTGCCTCACCACTGTCGTCACGTGGTGGTGAGGGCTGAGTGTGGCACTGCCTCACCACTGTCGTCACGTGGTGGTGAGGGCTGAGTGTGGCACTGCCTCACCAGTGTCGTCACGGTGGGGAAGGGCCTCACCCGTCACACTATATTCTCTACATTCCTGTTTGTCACACTCTCAAGATGTTATTGTTTGGTTGTTCTTCGATAATAACATAAATTATCATAAATTATAGTTTTATGTGATGCGTGTGAAAATAAATTCACCATATTGAAGTGATATTTACCAGAGACTATAGGCCTAGGTGGAATGTTAGACGCTATGTGGCCTCATCACCTCATATATATACTATAGAGCAGATAATGACGTGTGGCATCGTGCATCTGCAACAAATTAAGAGCTAAAAATAATGATAATTTATATTTGCATTTATTTTATTACATGTTATTTTATTTTTTATGTGAAGTAATATTTACGTCGAGGATTTTTTTTTTTTTAATTTTACCGAAGAAATGATTTGATGTAATGGTCTATATTTATTTTTGTTAATACTCGAGAAATTAATTCCCTTCACAGCACTGATTTACATTTCTTAAAAGCTAAAGTTTAATACATGCCGACTGCGATATCAGTAAACATTCTCCATTAAACCTCTTATATCTTGGTAAGTAGAGGAGCGGCTGGCCTGGTCTCGTTTGCTAATCTCTTTGAAGAGTTACAAGTTTGTCTTTTCAAATCTTCTCAAATTTCTCTCAGGTCACACACAATACAGTCAACTAACACTACCATATATATATTCCTATTCTAAACTGCTCAGCAAAGACTGTTAACTCCAGGTTTTTTCTATATTGAGCATTCTCATTCTCTACCGGGATCTATAACTGTAGTAAAACCTCATTTTTAATTGGCTTTGAACTTAAGATAAAGACATCGCAGTGCTGACTAGTTACCAAAATACTTCGGGTGATCGGTCATCCTCCACCCGACATGAAATGCTGAAAAAATCACAATGTAAAAATATATTCTTAATTGCGTCCATAAAATACTTTTCAAATAATACGTACACATATATGGAATGTAAGTCATCCATGCAGGCCATTTATATGGGGTTTAATATAACATATAATTATTTTATCGTAGGAAGTTTCAGACACAATTTGGGACGCATTCTAAATTGATTTACTTTCAAAAGAATTTGATATCTTACTTGAAATCATCATATTTTTGAGTGATGTGTAAACGCAATTTTGTCAAAGCACTTCCAGCAACGCAATATTGACCAAGCAGTCAGCTTAGTATAGTACACTGCTAGCAATACCAGGTTAACCAGTCATGCAGCCTAGTACAGTACTCTGCCAGCAACACCAGGTTAACCAGACACACAACCTAGTACAGTACTCTGCCAGCAACACCAGGTTAACCAGTCATGCAGCCTAGTACAGTACTCTGCCAGCAACACCAGGTTAACCAGTCATGCAGCCTAGTACAGTAATCTGCCAGCAACACCAGGTTAACCAGGCATGCAGCCTAGTACAGTACTCTGCCAGCAACACCAGGTTAACCAGACATGCAGCCTAGTACAGTACTCTGCCAGCAACACCAGGTTAACCAGTCATGCAGCCTAGTACAGTACTCTGCTAGCAACACCAGGTTGACCAGACACACAACCTAGTACGTACCCTGCCAGCAACACCAGGTTAACCAGACATGCAGCCTAGTACAGTACTCTGCCAGCATCACCAGGTTAACCAGACATGCAGCCTAGTACAGTACTCTGCCAGCAACACCAGGTTAACCAGACATGCAGCCTAGTACAGTACTCTGCCAGCAACACCAGGTTAACCAGACATGCAGCCTAGTACAGTACTCTGCCAGCAACACCAGGTTAACCAGACATGCAGCCTAGTACAGTACTCTGCCAGCAACACCAGGTTAACCAGACACACAACCAACTACAAGTACCAACCAGAATATGGGACTTGTTGAGTAGCATTAGCAGCGGTACAGTATTCAACAATAATATGTAAACATCAGGATGTTTTTATTAGACACTAAAACGAAATAACAGTTTTTTTCAGTCCAGCAATATCTGAAACTCCCTACACAACCCTCACAATAAGCAAAAAAATATATATAATATATA